TTTTAAAAATAACGACCCAATGCTAAGGTGTTTACTGTGGCCTTTTATTTGAAGAGGTCTTTTAATCGAAGCGGTCTTTTATTTCTAGAACATTGTCGAACTATTACTTGTAATAGTAGAAGGTCTTCTATTCGTAAAAATCCGTTAATTTGAAAAGTGCCTTAATTCAAAATCAGCTCTGGAAACGTTATGGCGCTGGCTGTGCGACGTTGTGACAACGAATGGGATAAAATGTACGACAACACTAAAGTCTGAGCAACAATTTATATGAAAGTAGCTCCTAGATCAAGAATATGTGAGCGAGAGGGTCCTTTGAGAATAAATTATATAAAAGCACTTCGAATAGAAATCTCATGGCTTGTCCCAAAAACATGATAAACAATTCAAACTTTATTACTATGATACACTAGAAAGGACTCAAATTGGCTTAGACCAAATTATATTAGTATCAACGTACACGTGAGCTCTGCATGCATGATGAAGGTCATATATTTTTATATCCAGCGCGGCAATTTAGGTGCGAGTGGCCGTCATGAGGATTGGTGGCTTGGAGGTCAGATAGCATACTCGCACTGACAATTAATGATGATTGGACTCACTCTCGATTTAAGGGGAGAGCCTGCGCGTATAACTGTGTAAGGATTCGCCGCGCGCGACAGGCGACTTCCGATCGATTAAACAAATACTCGCAACGTGATTTAATGCATCCATAGTCGCTGCGACTCTTTTGTATGCAGACAGCAAAGATTTGTTCGCTTATTTAGATATATAGCCCAATAGTAATGTACATATTTTTTGACTTCGGCTGCAGAGCGCGTTAAACCTTCCGCCGCATGGAAAGGGCACGACTTGCGTGATGTGTGCAGAAGTGAGGAGCGTTTAAAACAACAACTTTTCGGGAAGAACCCTGATGGTGCAAAAGGCAGTACCGGGCGGCTTTCGATTCGGGCATAGGTGTCGGATTGAGACACATGAAGTCACAATCCCGGAATATACCTTGGTTACCGCTTAGCCTAGTATAGCTCGCAGACTGCCGACTGCCCCCCCCCGGATATTCACAGCGGCCCGTTGAGCAATTCGAGCAAGTAAATGAGGGGACTGTCGGTGTAAATAATATATGTGGTAAAGAAATAGTAGGCGCGATGAGCGGAGTTGACTCCCTGTATAGTGCGTACTTGCTGAGTGTTCACTTTTGCGCGGTCACAAGACGAACTTCTAACGACCCATATGAAATTCTCATTTCAGTAAATGGGTGTGTGACAGAATATACCATAACATTGTGTGCTTACCGCTCTATAGTTCAAGCAAAACTCAGAAGTGCCAAACTGAAGTTCTATGATGAAAATCGCGATTTATACTTGGTACGAATGAGTGTAAGAAATGAAATATTCATGAAATGCCTTACGCTATGCATTACGTAAGGATGATTCTCTGTTTTTATAAATCAGTATGCATGTCAATTCTGTACAATGAGCAAACAGAGTTTTTTTGTCACACAGGGGACTCTCAATTTTGCCCCTGCCTTGCGTTCATGCGGACCTGCAGAATTAAACTATACGTGCGCAATACGGCAACCTGGTCGCGGTCAAAGTTAAGACGAGATAGCTTAACAGGTGGGGCTGCGAAAGGTGCATCCTCGTGACTTACGACTGTTCGTAGACTTCGTTGGCACAAGTGCACAGTTGTCTATATTGGCGATCAGCTTATTCAAGCAAATCCACTTTACCACTACTTGCGACTGCTAAATATAGATACTCACATCGGATATCTCGTGTTCGGCACACCTATGAGCAAAGTTGTCGTCGAAATATTTGTATGTATACGTGACCTAAAAGACTTCGTTACGAGACGGCTGAACGCTGCTACACATCATAAATCACTGTCAGAGCATCCCGCTCAGAGCACTCACTGCACTTAAAGATGTCACTGTATCCCATGAGCACTGAGTATTGTCTTTCAATCAGCTTTTAAGCCCTAAAGAATTCCAACTGACCATTTTTTCGGCAGCACATTGTTTGGCATTTGCGTCGGAATAGTGGCTGTATATTACTGACTACAAGCATGCACAATTCGCAACTTGCCGTTAACCTTTCTTACATCGAAAGTCGGCACTGTACTGGCGAATTTACTCATTCTCACACACAGAAGAAAGCGCCTATGGCGTCAAACTGTTCGCTTGGTAGGGGCCATATTAGACTCGGAAATCAGATTGATCTCATGACGCGATCCGATCCGGGGGAACAAAAGTTCGGTCTCTAGTCCATACACTCCATCTTTGTTTAAAACAGTCGTCCCTCGGATAACAAATAGATGCGGGGCAATATATATATATATATATATATATATATATATA